GTTTACAAATACCATTTTATATGCTATTTAATAAATATAAATTGAAAAATGACTGTATCAGCATCATTCATTAAGCCTATCAAATCACATTTCGAGCAACTTATATTACGAGATGTTATTCACTATTATCACTTAAATCGCGAAGGGAAGCAGTGAATAATTACTTTGATACTGCTGTTATAATATATTGTATATGTAGATAAACTATGCAATGTAAGTTAATATTGTGGTGCGCCCATTGTCCCAGATCTCACCTCAGAGCTGTGTCAGGATCTGTCCATTAGTACTTCCTCATTCACTATTATATATACTCGTATCTGAGGCAATAAATTGCTAAATCCAAGTTGTCGAGGATGTTAAAGTTTTCTGAGTATTACTCATTACCCGAGTGATTTTGTTGACCCAATGAACTTTGACCGGCAATGTAATGGTTTCTTGTGTCTCCCAATTGCGGATTTCCTTCGGTTGAGCCTAGAATGAACATTTATTTTTTAGGTATCACCTCACTGAGTCAAACGAAGTGAGCGGTAGTAGCCGTTTAGTTCCGTAAATCGAATGACGTGCCATTTTTTCCATGCATTTGTCATTCTTCACTTGTGTTAAAAAAAACATGAAAGAAAAGAATACAATAGAGCATTCGTTTTCCATTGGCATTTTTCAGTATTTTGATGCATCAGTGTGACGTTATTGTCACCATTGTCAACATCTTTAATTTTATCGAAGTGTAGAGATGCTAATTGCCTGAATTCTGTCACTCCGTTCATTATCACATCAGTAATTGCCAAACACCAACTGCGATAAACGACAATAGCTATCTACCAAGGTTGGAAAAGTATTGTAGTAAGTATTGAATTTTGAATTGTCACTTCACTATCGTAAATGCTTCGCAACATGTAAATAAATACATTAAAACTCCTTTTGCTAAACATAAACCTTGCAAAACTAACCTCTAAATCCATGGAATTGTTCCATGTGCTTCTTTAGTGTAATTTTATAAGAAAAGGATTCGTTACAGTTTTCACAATGAAGTTTAGGTTGATGCACTTCTTTATGCCTTAGAAATCCTGTTAGGGAAAGGAATTTCTTTCCACATTCGGGCCAAGCGCACTTATGTAAATCTTGTTCCTTGTGCGTTTTAAGATGTTCTGAATATTCCTTTCTCGTATGCATAATCACATTACAATAACCACATTTAAACTTCTGCCTAACTGAAAAATTGGCATGACGTTTGTGTTTACAAATACCATTTTACATGCTAATTAATGAATATAAATTGAAAAATGACTGTATCAGCATCATTCATTAAGCCTATCAAATCACATTTCGAGCAACTTATATTACGAGATGTTATTCACTATTATC